CAGGCCTTCCCGGCTGTACTGAGCTGTCTGTCTGTCTGTCTGGGTAGAGCTCAGGCCTTCCTGGCTGTATTGAGCTGTCTGTCTGTCTGGGCGGAACTCAGGCCTTCCCGGCTGTACTGAGCTGTCTGTCTGTCTGTCTGGGAAGAGCTCAGGCCTTCCTGGCTGTACTGAGCTGTCTATCTGTCTGTCTGGGAAGAGCTCAGGCCTTCCCGGCTGTACTGACCTGTCTGTCTGTCTGTCTGGGAAGAGCTCAGGCCTTCCCAGCTGTACTGAGCTGTCTGTCTGTCTGTCTGGGTAGAGCTCAGGCCTTCCCGGCTGTACTGAGCTGTCTGTCTGTCTGTCTGGGAAGAGCTCAGGCCTTCCCGGCTGTACTGAGCTGTCTGTCTGTCTGTCTGGGAAGAGCTCAGGCCTTCCCAGCTGTACCGAGCTGTCTGTCTGTCTGGGCGGAGCTCAGGCCTTCCCAGCTGTACTGAGCTGTCTGTCTGTCTGTCTGGGTAGAGCACAGGCCTTCCCTGCTGTACTGAGCTGTCTGTCTGTCTGGGTAGAGCACAGGTCTTCCTGGCTGTACTGAGCTGTCTGTCTGTCTGTCTGGGTAGAGCTCAGGCCTTCCCGGCTGTACTGAGCTGTCTGTCTGTCTGTCTGGGTAGAGCTCAGGCCTTCCCAGCTGTACTGAGCTGTCTGTCTGTCCTGCTGCAGCTGAAGTCCAGTGGTCAACGCGATTTCTGTTTCTCCTCTCTGTCCATCAGTTGGGACTGTCGGTGTGGAGCTGGCTGTGAGGTGCTGATGTGTTCAGGGTCCAGTTCTTGAGTGGACCCTGTATTGTCTTGCAGTCTCCCCTCTAGCCCTGTGATACCTCCTCCGTGTTCTGTGGGTGTACTTTCCACTGTGTCCTCTCCTCTGAGTCCATTTGAGCTGGGTTTCTGGGAGGTGGACAGCATAGTGTTGGACTCTGGTTTTTATCCCATAGGAGAACTGTCTCTTGATTTTGGTCTCAGACCTTTGGCTTTGGAGGTGCTTGTTGTGGGTTTACACGGACAGGCCGCTTGGGTACTTCAGGGGTGACACTCCACACGCCCCCTTTCTCTCTTTCCCTCCGTGCCTCTTTGGGGCTCCGTTTCTCCAGTGCCCAGTTCCGTCTCTGTGGGGCTGGTTGGCCTTTGGCCTCGAGTCTACAACACACTTCAACAGCACTGAGCTTGGGGACCTCACGAGGTCACCTCCTCTTGCCTCCTGCTGTCGGAGGGTGACCATTGTGGTCTAAACGTGATAAAATCCCGCCACACGTCACTGTTTTTGCTCTGGGTGGCGGGTTGTCTTGTCACCTTGTACATCCACTTTCTCTTTTTTAATATTGGCTTTTTAGTTGTAGGTGACATGATGTCTTTGTTTTTCTGTGGGGCTGAGGATGCACCCAGGCCTCCCGCGGGCCAGGCCAGCGCTCCATCTTCCCTTTAAGGCGCTCTCGGGGGCTGTCTTTTTCTTTGCTGTCCGGCCCTTGGCCTGGAGGGGCTCTCGAACACCCCGCACATGCCTCCTGTGAGCGGAGTCTCAGGTTTCCACTTTCACTTTGGAAATGCGGTTTGGTGCCTGCCCAGGGTGTTAGGTTCATTGTCTCTTCTCAGCAAAAACTACCATGGGTCGCAGAGACCGCACGCGGCAGCAAGCTCCTTCCGACTCGCAGCCATAGCCGTCTCCTAGGAGAAGGGCCTGGAGCAGCAGGCGTGGGGTTGGCCCGGGCTTTTTGGTCCCTGGACTTTCCTCCCCCCTTCTCTCCTCCCTGTCCACGCGCCCCTCACTCTTACTGAGGGTGCTCCCTGTGTCCCCGCGTCTGCGTTAGTCTCTGTTGGAAGGCGGCGTAGGGCATGGGTGCGCGGTGCCTGCTGATTGGGCCCGTGTCCTGGAGCTCTTCTGTCAAGCAGAAGCAACCTCCCTCCCGGCTCCCTGGTCCTGCCCTGCCCGACCCCTCCCTCGCCCTGGCCAGGCTGCCTGCCCTCTGCGTCTCCCCACCCTCAGCTCCACAGGGCGGCAGTGTTCTCAGAAGCCGTGTGACTCCCGCCTCTGTCTCCTCTCTGGGTTTGGCAGTTGGGGCTGGACAGCGTCTGCTCCTCCTCTGGGAGGGCGTCACCCGGGCTCTGTGGGCTTTGGGACGTGGGGTTTTGTGCTCCATTGTTTCTAGAATGTTCCTAGCTGTCAGCTCCTCACCTGCTGCTTCTGCCCAGGTCTGTCCTCTTTCTGGGGCCATGATGCACAGGGCGGTGTGGCTCACCGTTGTCCCCGAGGTCCTTGACTCTTGTCCTTGTTTCCTCCCTCCTCCGTCTTTCTGTGTTTTAGTCTATATTTACCTGTCTTCAATCCAACGAAGCCGCATTTGGCTGCATCGAGTGTGGGGGCCGTTGAAGGGATTCTCCGTGTGCTGTGTCCATCTGACTCTCTAATCCCCCTCGCTGCTGGACACCCCTTAGTGCTCCAGTCGCAGTGTCCGGTGCCTGTGGGTGGCCGCCTTCCTGGCTGTTTGTGATCCGCGTCTGCTGGTTGCTCTGTCTTAGACCTCGGAGGGTCTTCCCCTTGCTGACCTCTGTCTTATGATTTGTGGGTGTCAGACCCCAGCACTGTTCCTGGGGTGCGCGTGTCCCTGGGCCGTTGTGTTCTCACAAGAGAAGATTTCAGGCAAGACGTGAGATGTGGGCACCCTCAGGGAGGGTGTGGCTGGTCTCAGAAGAGAGCGACAGCCCCTGTCCCATGTCCCAGCTTTTATTGGGAATTTTAGGGGAATTTCCCAGAGGGTCTCGCCCTGAGCTCCACATCCAAGTTCTTGTTGGCGCTTGTATCGCAGCGGTCTGCAAACTCCCTAGTATGTCATGTTTCATTCTTAGGTTCCTGACCCGGACTGTGGGGTGACAGGTCACAGTGCCAGTGAGACCCTGGGAAGGACCCAAAGGCAGCTTTTGGGGGTGGTCCTGGCTCTGCGGCAGGTTCTACCTGGAGCTTGTTTTTACAGACTTTGTGCCAGCGTCCGGCCAGGACCATCTGTCTCCCCGAGGAGGGGCCACCCCACTCGCCTAACTGCTGGGTTGCCCAACGCCCACTGCCTTGGGTCTGGGCAGGCCCAGGGCAACTTTGAATGATTGATTTCACAAACCAACTGGGGACGGCAGGGTGGCCGGATCCCCAGGGAGGAGCCTCCTCAGACTTCCTGACCCCCTCCAGAGAGCAGCCCTGCTGGGCGTTGGTGGGCAGAGGAGGCGGCTTGCCCTCTGTTGGAGGGCCCTTTAGGCCTGTTCCCACCCACCCCTCAGGGGAGAGGGTGTTTTTCCACCGTCCCCCACCCTCAGGGAGCCTCAGGAAGGGGCGGGACACAGATTCAGGTCTCTCCCCCACCAGGGACCCTCCTCGACAGCTCAGCCAATGGGACCAAGGCTCTGAGGAGTGGCCACTGCCCTTACCCTTGCTCTTTGAGGAAAGGACTTGGAAATACACGGAGACAGGGAGCAGCAGGGAGGCTGGTTTATTAGCTCACGTGGGAGCAGGCCCCTGGGGCCAGGACTKCCCGGGGGACACGCAGGGCAGGGGCATCAGCACCGTCCTCCCGCTCTCGCCCCCAGTGCAGAGGGGCCCCTGGCCGTGCTTTCCACCGTCCCCAGTGCTGGCAGGGTGCAGGGGTGGCCGCCTGCCCTGGGAGCAGCTGGTCTGTGGCCGTGTGGTCAGCAGCAGGCGGGGGTGCTACAGGAGACGGGTCTGCAGAGGAGCRGGGGGCAGGGGGGCTGGCAGCACCCCGAGGACTGGCAGCAGGGGGCCACACACACAGAAGGTCGGCAGCTCACGGGAAGGCACACGGAGGACTGGCAGGAGGGGGCCACACACACGATGGGCCTGCAGCTCACAGGCGCACAGCAGGCCACCTGGCACCTCACGGGCACACACACAGTGGGCCTGCAGCTCACGGGCACGCAGCAGGTCGCCTGGCAGGGGCTGGGCAGGCAACAGGCCGGCTGGCAGCCTGAGGAGCAGCTGGTGTGGCACATGGTGGCTGAGGCTGGCTGGTGCTGGGGAGGAGGTGGTGAGGTCTGGCGCCTCCTCCCCTGGCAGCCCTTATATGCTGGCCGGGTGTCCGGGCAACACGGAAGCTCAGCTGGGTCTTCCTGGCTTGCTTCCTCGGCCTGGGCCACGCTCACATGGCTGCTGTCGCTGTGGCTGCTCTGCTTGGCCCGGTGACTAATGGCCCCTTCCTGGAGCTCTGGGGCAGGGAGGTTGTTCTAAAGAGCAGGTGGAGGTGGCCTGGGGCCAAGCTGCAGGGAGGTGGGGCTCCCGGGTGGCGAGTGTGGGGCAGGTGGAGGGTTCACCTGTGTAGACCTAGGACCAGGCAGGACAGCCCCACGCTGGGGACTGGGTGGGAGCCGGGAGACGCCTGGTGGGACAGCGTCAGCAAGGCCGAGGTCCTTGGGCAGGTCATCGACCCTGAGAAGAGGGAGGAAGAGGTAGGAGCTGTGGGAAGCCCCTGGCGATGACTCACACTGTCCCACCAGGCAGAGGGGAGGGGGGACCGACCAGCCGTAAACAGGTGTGGAGATGACACAAGATTCCCAAGTGGACAAAGCCAGCTCCAGAGTCTCAAGGGACCCCAGCAGGCAGAGAAAGCCCCAGCAAAGCGCGCCCTGGAGCGCGGATTCAGAGAAGGTGAAGGCCGGGGGCAGCAGGACGCGAAGACCACTGGCCCCTGCAGAGAGGAGGGCGCAGGCCGGCATCTTCAATGCAGGGGACGGGAAGGGCCGTGGGAGTCTGAAACCCAGCACCCGAGACCCAGGAGCATGGCTCCAACAACAGAAGCAGGTGACCCTCTACACAGAGCTGCAGGGGGACATGCAGGGGGTTGCGCTCCAGACCGACGAGAGGGGGACGCAGGAGCCGGAGGGAGGAAGGTGCCAAGGCAGTGGCTCTGGTGGCTCAGGTGGCACAGACACGGTTCCCGTCCTCTACAGGTGGCCCACTGAGGGACCTTCTCATGCTCAGTACGAGTCGGTCTCCGTGGCCACACTGGGTTCCACAGAAGAGCCTGTGGAAGGGCAGGACCCGTGGCCACTGTGGCTTCTCCTCCGGCTTCCAGGGTCATTCCCTCCCCGTGGACACAGACTGGCTCTGGTGCACTGGCTTTGAGTCCTGGCCACAGCTTTGGCCTTCCAGAGACAGGGTGGTCTCCAGCCCCATGGGTTTTCATGACTGTGGGGTCTGGCTGGTCAAAGTCCCCCATGTCCACTACCAGCTGCCCACAAGGACAGAAGGCTCCCTGGTGCAGCCCAGCAGGAGAACAGCACAGGACACAGCTGTGGCTGGAGCATGTGGAGGAGGAGTCCTGGGGCCGTGAGGCAGGGAGCCCACCGCCGTGGCTCCTGTGGCCACAGGGACAGTGCCCAGAGCCATGTCAGCTCTTGGCTCTGCCCCGGCTTCCACTGAAGGGTGAGGATGAGGGCACCTTGGGATGTGAGGGGGTCTGGCACAGCCCCTCCAGGCCTGCTCCTCCTGGGCTCCCCTCCGGGCTGTGGGAGGCCACTGGTCCAGCAGTGACATTTTGAGGCCCATGTGGTCACACACCCAAGACACGGTCCCCCAGGGAGTTGCTTGGGAACCAAGGAGTCCGCAGGAGGGTGGCCGCCAGCGCGTCCCTCTGCAGACTCCCACTGGCCAGTTCTACTGTTGTGATGCCCCGTGTGACGAGGATGTGACGTGCAGGAGGGATCCCTAGGGCACCCTGCTCATGTGACTTCTTACCCATCAGAACAGCTCACCTGTGTGTACCTGGGCAGCCTCCAGGTAGGGGATGTGTGACAGCTTCTGCCAGGTGTGCCCCAGTGGGGAGACCTCCTGTCACATCCTGGCTGTCCCCCAGACAACCCAGGGCCCTTGGCTCTGGCCCCCAGGCAGCAATGTGTGGCTCTGTCATTGCCTCCTGTTTGGAGGAAGACTTTGAAGGTGGAGACTGTCCCTGTTCTGTGACGAGGGTGGTGGGGACATGCATCTCCATCACTGGGTCTGGGGGTCCCAGCACTGAGAACTGTGGCCTCTGAACACACTGCCTTGCATGGTGGAGTGCAAGAAAGCCTGCCATCCTCTCCAACCCTCACCTCCCCTTCCAAGTGGGCTGGTGTGGTCCTGAGGACATGCAAGCACGGTCAGCTGGTGGTCAGCACAGGGCTGCTGGACACGTGCCATTGTTGAGGGGCTGTACCCACCCATAGCTGTCACTGGTGTCCCATCAGGTGCCCCTGGGATGGGAGGTCACAGCAGTGGCACTCTGTCCATCAGCTGGACTGTGTCTCCAACTCCCTGCAAGTTTCGTGTCACTGGAGTCTTGTTGCGACCTGTGCAGCAGCAACAGAAGGTCTCAGGGAGGGTGACAGGAAGTGAGGAAAGACACTGATGAAGAAAAACACGAGATGTTTTTAAGTGAAGCTGAGGACAGGAGGGACACTGCACTCTGACAGAGGAACAGGGACCCAGAACTAGCTTCACAAGTTTATTATATGGGGTCACATTATCAGGAGGTAAAACTACAGATGATCTGCTAAGGGTTCAGAGCCTGTGAGTTATCCAGAGGTGTCTTTGCGCACTAAGAAGTTGTGGTGTTGGGACGTCTGTGGCAGTTCTGCTGTACCCAGAAACCCATTGAACTGGAGCATCTGATAACTGTTGGCTTCAGAGCCGAGGGTCGAGGCTTTTCACACATCCTGCCTTTGGCAAGGAGGGTTTCCCAGGGGTGGCTTTGCGAACACCACAGATCAGCTGATGACTGCAGCTCATCCACTCCCCACATCACCCCACTTTTAATTATTATTGTAACGATGTATGTCTACTTGGAGGTGTTGGAACTGGAATTGGACAAGCTGGCAGTTCAATGTGAGAAAAAAGCATGGAACTGAGAGCAAGGAAATAAGTCTTAAGAGATACTATACAGTATTCTTTAACATTTTCCAAGGACTAAAACCATTTAGGTCATCCCAGAGCTTTTCTGCAAAACTGGAAGGAGATAACATGGGTCTGGCTTTCCTGCTTGGCTTGGATGGGATGATGCAGTGGCAGAGATCTCAACTCACATTGTTATAATTCCGAATTCCTAATAGATGCCTCTTCCCCCAATCCCATTGGCAGCTATTGTGTGGAACAGGTGTTACACAAACAAACGAGAGTGACATGGCATAGTAAGTGTTGCCTGACCTTAAAACTTTGCATCTGATCACCTAGGCCCACTACAATAGCCTCTAAGGCATTCAGCTTAGCTTCAAGTTTATTATTAATAGCCTCCTGATCTCAGAGGGCTCTTAAAGTATTTTGAGCCACAGCGTTGGTGATGGGGAGTGCTATTGCCCATTTCCTTTTCTTTTGATAACCAGCTACTGGTCCTTTGCCCTGTCTCATTCTCCCCTCTAATTAAGGGAACCTTTGCTGCTCCTAGGGGAAATGGGCAAAGACCGCTCTGGCTGCTTCAGACTGAGAGGGAGCAATGTGGCCAAGCAGTTTGGGTTTCCCTTTAGGAATGTTTTGGGTTAGTTGAGGGGTCTGTGGTTTGGAAAGAATAGGTTGTAAAGTGATCTGGGGGTGGGTGCTTCTATGAGAGAAACAAAAATACATGAGTACTGGAACAAGATTAATACAAAATAAATGTTGCAGCATCTGGACAGTGAATATCAGGAAGACGATGGAAACCACTAATCTTTCACCAGAGAAGTTGGTCCCATAATAGGGCCAGTGAGGACATGGCCTCTATTTGGGAATGTAAATCTTTTACATTGCCAGTAGGGGCAGTCCTAAGACGCCCTCTTTTATAGCCTCCATCTTACTTACTCTTGCTGTGGCTGACACAAGTGTACATCTTAAGTTTCATTAAGAGAACTGTTGTGTTTTCTTTTAAATGCTCAGGCATGGCTCTGTTTTGGTTATAACTGCTTTGCTAGGTGTTTAAGATCAAGTTGCTCAAATTGACATTGTTCCCATCTATTATGAGTCAGCTGAGTTTCCTCAGGGGTCACTCTTGGGAACTTGAGAGAAGCCTCTTTGTTCCTTTAATGCCAGCTTCCAGGATGGGTCTGGGTCTCGTTGACCACGTGGATTTCCTTGGAAGTAGCAGGGACATCTCCTTCCCCAATGCTCCTTCTTTTGCAGCATGGGCACTGGTCAACTTTCTGTCCTCCAGGGTCTCATTGATCCCCCTGTTTGGGAGGTCATGTGGCCCAGAGTCGCAAAGCCCTTGGAGAAGTCCCCTTATTCCTGGGTCTGAGCTGACCTCAGGGGGCAAGAGCCAAGTATTGGCTATTTTCTTTCTTGGACCTTTTACTTCCTTAAATTTAGTCTCCAAGTTTTGGTCTTAAACATCCAGCAAGCAGTTTCACCAGTCTTAATGTCTGTAATTTTAAGTCATTTACCCCTTCTATTTAATTGGGGTCAGCATTAGTACTGGAAGTTAGCCTTACATCCTATCTGTCCTGTAGCTGATGCCTGTTATCTCTAATTAACTCAGGCTCTTCTACTGAAAGTTGTACTTTTGTAAGGCATGATCTGACAATAGTTATAAAGTTTACAAGAAAAATATAAAATGAAATTAACAAGAGTAAAAACATATTGAGTTTTTTTATAATAGGTATGAACCAAGAAACATAATGTTTATGATCCCCAATTTTGACTTTAAATTTTAGTTTGAAGAACACCAGGTTGGTAAAATGTTCTTCTAAACCTTATATTTTAAAGACTTCTCTGCTTGGAAGATATGAATACATCTAGTGTACAAAGAAGCCGGTAACAGCACCACAATGATACTGATGTTTTTATATTAATCAAGTTTAGCCTTTAAAGAAAACTTTGGAATCTGGAATGTAGCATAATACTTTAAAATTACAGTTGTTATTTAACCAGAGTTGTAGAAACCCTGATTCCTTTCAGACTAGTTCCTCTACATAATAAAACATAACAGACATAAGAAATTATCTTTATAGATAAGAGCAGATTCATGTTTTAAGAAATTCTTGTTACTTCAACC